GATCTATACAACCAAATCAAGAATAACAAGAAAAACAATATTTTCCGACTTCCTAACACTATCTTCCAACGAAGGTGATACTATAGCTGATAGTGACTCATCTAATACTATAGGCAACATTGACACCAATACAATCATAGTAGATGATGATGGTGAGTGGAGGAAGGAGAGAGGAGAACGTTACAGCGACAAGTTATCTCGGGTTAAATTTATAAGAACATTTGCTGATTATATAACACTTTCATCTTACTTTTTAAAAAAATTATTTGTTCCTATTTAATGATAATGATGATAATGTACAGTAGAGTCTGTCTAAAAGCATAGAATTTTCGGCCCAAGTTAGGCCATATGTGTTATAAGTATACTGCATATTGTTTGTATATAAGCATAAAAAAATTCTAAACTTAATACAGGTCACTCCGTTATAATAACGCTCCTGGGACAAGCAAAAAATGTCCGTATAATGGATGTTCTTATTATTATAATAATAATAATAACGGGAGTTCATCTAATAAAATCACGTGACTCATAAAAAGGCTATATAACACCTTTAGGGAATTGATTGGTGTGAGAAAAAAACCTTTTTTATTTTAGTTTTTTTTTGACAGTAAAAAATTGACCAGGCCTTTTTGGGAATAACTAAACATTTAAAAATATTTAGTAATTGCGTACTTGATGTAAAAGAATAGTAATTGATCTTTTTTTTATAAATATGTATATTCAACAATAAACATGTTAACTGATTTTTATTTTAAAAAAAAATCATGAATTTTGTGACATCATAAACATATAAATGCAAAACCTGCTTTTTAAGAATAACCTGCAGTTTACTATCTAAAAATTTTCTTACGTCGCAGCATAGGATTTTTTCTTGGCTTGACAGTATGCTTATAGACGGATTCTGCTGTAATTAACATTGGGAAGGTGCACTTTAGGCATCATGGAAAAAATTTTAAAATTTAAAAAAAAAGGTTATGGTTAAAATGTTAAAGTGAAGCGACTTTTTTAAATCTTATTTGAATACATTTCACCAAGTTCAAACGATTATATATATATATATTCCTATTCATAAGCTTAAGCTTAAGCCATGGTTGGAATTTGGTCACAGCTAAACAATTCCTTGGCCGTTTGGTCAGCCAAAGCAGCCAAATTTTTTCAATTTTAACGACATTGATATAAAATTGTCATATCTACTTTATTAGCCAAAACGGCCAAACAGCCAAATGCCAACATTGGCTTAAGCTACTCGCTCAAAAAATATCCATTTTGAAAAAGGTTTGAAATGAATATGTTTTGCAAGAGGAGATTTCCTCAATTACTGGCCCAGCTGCGCCAGTAATCGATAGTGAAATAATAATACAGGAAATAAATATAAACAGACACTTCAAAAAGAAATGATTAGGATTATCAATTAAAAAAATTTTTATTGGAATCAATTGTATATACATAAAATTAAAAATTATATTATCAATTCCTCACAAATTGGATTTTAAATAAAAAACATGTTGATCGATCGAATCTGTTTAAATCTGTTAAAATCCAATTCAACAAATTACGAGAAAATAAATAAAATAATAATACAAGAAAAATGGATGTATTTTTTACCTAAAAAATATTTACAAAAATAACAACCATGTTAAATACTATATGTTACTAATGAACTTTTATATATTAATTATTTAAAGGAACTAATAAAGGAAAATCTTCAACCCAACGAATTGTAAAATCTCGTATAGCAACATTTGGTAAATGAGCAAACGTTTGATAAAATGATTTATTTATAAAAGGTCTATCAAATGGATAACCCATTGGATGTTTATCAGGATATTTATCTCTCCATTTTCTACCACCACATAATAATTGACTTCCACATGTTGGAGCAACAGGAATCATATCATCTTTACCATCTGATACATAAACCATCATTTTAAATCGAAGACCTTCCTTCGTTCCTCTTGGAATCACCATATGGTATGGCCAACCACAACCACAAAATATCGCTTCAGATTGTTTATCTAATGTTAATTGGTCTAGTGAATTCACGTAATCAGGTGTCATCTGGGTGGATTTTTCCATTTGTCTAATAGTCTTTTGTGCTGGTTTACGTATACCAATTGACTGGTCGCAATCTTGTGATATTATGGTTTTCTCATATGGTTTCAATATTCTTTTGAATTTGTCAAGTTCTATCCAGTGAACATACGAATCCATAAATACCTCTGGAACGATAAAAACTCTAAACGTTACTGGCAATGACTTAATATTTGATTGATGGAGTAAAATGGGAAAGAGGATGGAAACGGGTTTTTATTAATATATAATTCTACATAATGATAACATCAGAGTATCAAAGTATTGTTTTAAAGTTCATTTACTTACTTTAGATGATAGATTTTCAATACGGAAGAAAGTAAAGAATTCTCTCGGGTACATAAACTCAATGATTTCTTTATCATTGGTATCTTCAAGCCAAACATGAACTCTTTGTTTCATAGTAGTTTGTAATTCGTTGGTGAATCCGGTAACATTTACCAATGTTTTATCAAAATTATTACCACCGATTGTTTTCTTGGCATATTTAACCCATCCATTATGATCACCATCTTTATCAAGATTAAATAGCTCGTCTTTAAATGCAAGGAAAATGTCATTATTTCCAATTTTTATTGGTGGGATATCATTACTGAACATGTTCAAGCCTAATCTAGTTTGCCATCTAACATAAATATCATCAATGTGACGATGCCATCTCCAAAATAATGGATCACGACACCCTGCACGAGCACCAACCAAAACACCTGGTGGAGCATTAGTATCATTGGGAGCCATAACGCGACCAAGCATTGCGTGCCCAACATTATGTAATACGTCTTCAATGACAGCACCTAAATCAGTATTTCCATTAGGGTCATTTAATAAGTTAGATGGGTTAAGATAAGTCTCTTCGCCATCAATCCATTTTTCCAATGTTATCAAAGCATTTTCCAATTCTTTAAGTGTATATGATGTATCGTCTTTACGATTATCCTGTGTCATAACAACTAAAATAATCAAAAACAATAATAATTAACATTATCATTATTATTATTATTATTATTATTATTATTATTATTATTATATTACGATTAAATAAGAAATCCAATTATTATTTATTGATTCGTTTATTAACCTGTATCATGAAAAACTTGACCAGGTGGACGAGATGGAAAGTGAACAACTTTATTATTAACGATTTCATATAAATGGGAAGGTGGATAAAAAGCATCAGGTATAGGTTCTCGATAATTTGGTAAAGCTGCGACTTTTGCTACTCCAAGTGCATAACGTTCAGCATCATATCTAAAAAATAAAAAAATGATTAAACATATATAAAATATCTTCTAATATATATATATATCCATCAATACCACTACCAATGAAAGATGTTAATTAATTACCTTGCTAACATGAATCTGTGCATATAAATAAAATTTTCTCCTTCTCTATCTTTATATGTACCGTTAACTGGACTATTAACAAAAACTACATGCCAATGTTCATGATGGACATTAATAAGTGGATCATTTCTCCACCAATACAAAGCATCTTTTACTGGAACTGTTTTGTTAACTTTAACATTTTCTATATTTGTTGTTGGTGATGATGATGGTGATGGTGATGACGATGGTGGTGATGACGATGGTGGTGGTGACGACGATGATGGTGGTGGTGATGATGATTGTTTTTCAATCGAATTAGTGGTACTAATCGATGGCGTAGTTGAAGTATCGGGTTGTCTAATTGGTGGAGGTGAAGGTGTAGGTGTAGATGACGACACCGATGATTGTTTTTCTGGTTTTCTTTTTAACGGTTCAACTATACTTCGTTTTTTGAATTTGACATTTTCATAATCTTCATAATCTTCATTTTCATCATCATCATTTTCGTTTGCATATACTTCCACATCTCTTTTATTAAATTTGCTTCTAGGAACAAAATACATTAAATTATAACGTCGATGTAATTCTTGATCGAAGGATTCTAATTCAGTATCATCATAGCCATCGTCGTATATATCATTGATTAATGCTCCTCTTGACTTTAGTTTCGAGCATAGTAGCTAATCGATTAAAGAATTGAATTAATTATTAAAGTGTTGGGAATGGATGGATGGATAATTAGAAAGAATGTTACTCACCAATGAAGCAAGTTTACCTCCATCCTGAATTTGTGCGAGTTCGTTTAGACATCGATTTGATGTAGCAATTGACATTAATTTAAAAAAATTTTTTTTTAAATGGTAAAAAAATAATTATGATTTTTAAAAAAAATTTCTCGTTTAAAACATAAAGAAGGAAGAAAAAAAATAGGATTACTATAGTATTATCCTTTTTATTTATAAGGTGGCTGTGAGGTTAAATTATTGTCAAAGAAATCTTATTTGTTTTTTAAATGACCTGATTTATTTTGTTTTGATACAAACTATTAAACATTCATCAACATCATAATAATTATACTAATAAGGAGTGTGGCTGGCTTATTTTTATCGATGGCTTTTTACAATAAACAAAAATCCAAAGCCATTACATTAAATCATTTATCCAAATTAATCAATTGCACTTAAAAAAATCAATGAATAAATAATTACTATTTAAATATATTTAACAAAAAAAAAAGTTACTCCCTGGAATTCTTTTAAAATAAAGACTGGGAGTTACACAAACCATCAATAAAAAGGCTTACGCTGAACCATTTATAACCGACCAAATTGACAAATTTTACAATGTTTCCATCATCATCATCATTTAAATTCCAGATATGAAATTGAAATTGTGTCAAATTAATTAGAAAATTTACATTTCCTTCATTGTTAATGCTACTTATGCTATTATTATTATCATCATCATTAAGAAACTCAAAATTTGGTGCTTTTGACCAACTCCTTGAAGCGCAATAACTTAAATAATCTAAATTGTTAGATTTTCTAGAAAACAATCTGATTAATTGGTCGATAATCAGACTTATGATATCATTGTAGTTATCTTGATTTCTAAGTTTTTTGTTTTTAGTTCCGGCCCATTCAACAATTTTGTGGACGAAGACTTGAAAATCAAGTTCTTTTAAATATTTTGGGTAATCAAACAATGGTTTTCTTGTTAACTCTACATCGTATCCTCCTCCGTCACTTTCGCTATGAGTGTTTTTATTGATTAGAGTTTCAATTTCTTTTCTATCTTCTATGCTTAAAAATCTCAAATATGTTTGAATGATGATTGGTGTTTTTACAAACTTGTATTTCTTTTCGAACGGTCTACTCCATAACACATATACGACATTTATGCACCATATTTTATTAACCAAAAGGCTTGAAAATAATCCGGGTCCTTGATTGCTAACATGCTCGAATATTTCTTGAAAGCATTCATTCGGTAACGAATTGATAACCGTCATTTTTTTTTCCCAAGTGAGAAATTACAATAATAAAAATATATACTGTTTATTTTTATTTATACTAATTAAAAATTTGTGTTTCACAAATTTCTCAAGCTTCTTCTTCTACATATTAATCTATATTAATCTATATAATCTATATACACATCTATTCACGATTTCAAATGTTCAAACCGGTTCCGTGCAACAGTAGTAGTCAAATTGTTTAGCATTAGCCACAAATGTGATCAACCAGCGAGCAGATTCGATATTAAATAAAAATTCTTATGGTGAGTGAATTAAAATAAAAAAAATCAAGGGCAATGATAAATTATTTATTATTAATTCGCAACAAATTATCGTCGATGAAATAATTTTGTGAATGAAACACGGATAAACGTAAATTATAAATAAATCGAGAAAAAATCTTACCTGACACCGAAGAAGCAATAAGTTTGAATCAAATTTCTTGTATTAATGTTGAAATTTCTAAATTTTACAAGTTTCGATTGATGAATTAAATCTGCAAGATCCCAATTACCGCAGAAAGTTTTATTTACATTGATGAAGAAGTAACAACCAGCATAAGAATTACAGTAACTGATAATTCTGATGAAGAGGAAGAAACGGAAATGGTAGGTGGTTATTTCTGATAAAGAGGCCACCAGACAATTCTGCAATTAGTTACCAAGGATTTTGAAAACAATTAGTAATTTAATAAACATGTCCAAGATGATGCAAAGCAACTCACGATAATAAATAGATTTTATTTATAAAGTCCATACCATAAAGGGACTTTTTTTTTCACAAACTTTCATGCAAATCATTTATCCAAATTAATCAATTGCACTTAAAAAAATCAATGAATAAATAATTACTATTTAAATATATTTAACA